AGAGAAGCTGTGGCTGCCCCTGGATCCCTGGCAGTGTCCAAGGCCGGCTTGGATTCCCCGGAACACCGCTCGGGACAGCGTCAGGTGTCCGGTGGGTGGGACCGGATGAATTCCACGGCCCTTCCCACCCGACCCACTCCGCGCTCCGCAAACCCCCCCGCCGCTCCCGCTGCCCCCGCGCCGCCTCACCGCCGGAGGTGAAGTAGAACACCATCCTGGCCGCCGCTGGAGCTCCCGGGGCTCCCGGGCCGCCCTTTTCCCTCCCGCTCCCGTTCCCGGCGCTTCGCCGGTTCCGCCTGAGGGGGGGGTGGACTCAGGTCGGGAGGCGTGGCCTCGCTCGGCGCCTGCGCGCGCGCACGCGCGGTGGGGGCGCTGAGGCCGTAACGGCAGCCTGCGCATGCGCCGAGGGTCGAAGGGCGGCCGCGCATGCGCGGTGAGGGCGGCGAGGCCGCAACGTGGGCTTGCGCATGCGCCGAGGGTCAAAGGGGCGCCGCGCATGCGCGTTGAGGGCGGCGAGGTCGGGAGGGCCCGTCCTTTGCCCTTTTCCGGTTTTGCCTTTTCCCCTTTTTTTTTCCCTTTTCCCTCTTTTTTCCCCCCCTTCCTGCTTTCTTTCCCCTTCCCTGTGCCTTCTTTCTTTTCCTTCCCTTTTATTTCCATTTTTTTTCTCCTTTACTTTTGCTCTTCCCTCTTTCCTTTTTTCCCTCTCAGGTACCCCCTTTTCCCTTTCCCCCTTTTTTCTTCTCTTTTCCTTTTCTCTTTCCTTTAACCCCTTTTCCTTTCCTTCCCATTTCCCCTTTTCTTTCCCTTTTTTCCTTTTATTTCCCCCTTTTTCTTTTCTGCTTTTTCTTCCCCTTTTTTTCTGTTGCGTTTCCTCTTTTTCCTTTCCTTTTCTCCTTTTCCTCCCTTTCCTCCTTTCCCCCCTTCCTCCTTTGTTCCCTTTCATCTTTCCTTTGCCCTCTTTCCTTTCCTTCCCATCTTTCCCTTTTCCTTTTTCGCTTCCCCCTTTTTACTTTCCCATTTCCTTCCCTTCCCTTTCCATTTTCCCCTTTCCTTTCTCCTTTTGCTTTCCCTATTTTCCCATTCCTTTCCTTCCCCGTTTTTCCCTTTCTTTTCCCTTTTTTCGTGCTCCTTTCCCATTCCTTTTCTCTTTTTTCTTTTCCCCATTTATCACCAAACCCCCCTCGTTATCACCCACATAATCTCCCATTTAACCTCCCAAGAGCCCCTTAATTCACTCCCAACCCTTTTTATTCCCGATTTCCCCTTTGGAATCTCCCGCGCCTCACAGAGCCCGGACTACAACTCCCATGGCGCCCCGCGCGTTCCTAGCAGGTGATGTTTTGCTCTGCCCTCGCAATGCGCGCTGGGAGTTGTAGTATTTTAGCGCAGCCGAGCCCCGTGATTGGCTGCGAACCGCGGCGGGGCGGGCGCAACGCGGCGCTCTTCTCCCGTCCACCAATGAGCGGGGGAGCTTTGCTGATTGACGTTTGGCTCGGCCAATGGGAGCGGGGAGGGGCGGGCGGGCAGGAGAAGCGCGCGCGGGTCGAAGGCGGGAGAGCGGCGATGGCGGAGGCGGCGCGGAGGTGACGGGGGGCGGCTCTGAGGGGACCGGGGGGCTCTGAGGGGGTCCCGAGGGGGTTTGGGGCGGTGTGAGGCATCCCGGGATCATCGCGCGGGGGTAGGAGGGTGGGGGTAGCAGTGCGAGGTCAGGTAGTGGTGTGGGAAGGGGGTTTTTGGGAGGAGGTGGTTTGGGAAGAACCTGAGGGGAGGGGGGTGAAAAACAGGGGTCTGGGGAGTGGGGTTGGAGACACCACCCCAAGGGCTTTGGGACCCCACAGGGAAGGGCCTGGAGACCCTACAGAGACAGCCCCCCTCGTGTGGGGGACCCTAAAGGGTGTGGAGACCCCACACAGCCCCTCCAAGGGTTTGGGGACCCCACAGAGACCCCCAAAGGTTTGGGACCTCACAGGGACCTGCTAAGAGCTCGAGGACCTCACAGAGACACACACACCCCAAAAAAACCCCAATTTAGGATCCCACAGAGACCCCTCAAAGCTTTGGGGGCCCCCAAGGGTTTTGAGACCCCATAAAGGGCCTGGGGACCCCATAGAGACTCCCCCAAAGCTTTGGGGACCCCCAAGGGCTTTGAGACCCCATAAGGG